GAGAAGAGAGAGAGAGAGAGAGAGAGAGAGAGAGAGAGAGGGAGAGGGAGATAAAAAAGAAAGGGAGAAGGGGGTGATACACCGGTGGAAGGCGAGGGGAGACGGAGGGGTTTCTCGATCGCGAGCGAATTCTTCTCACGGTTGCGAGAGCGGAGAGTTTGGACGCGTGGGCGGACCGGCGAATAATGCCGGTCTTGTATTTTTAAACCCTCGCACGAATCGGCATCTCTCCGGGGAGAGAGATGGCGGGTCACTCGGCGCGTTGCACAGCTCCCGCTGCAGCCGCGCGCACCTTTCTCTTTTTCCTCTCTTTTATTCGGCCGAGGAGGCCTCCGAAAACGATCTCACGGTCCCTGGAGCGCGCGCGAGCGGGCGCCCCGCGACCGCGCACGCCGATCCTCTCCAATGAATTATCGACCCTTCCAGACCGTGGAACGCGAGCCTGCCGCTGACCGCCCGCAGGAAAAAACGGCCGAGACAGGGGCCCGCGATATTGGGGCCTTACTTTTCGGCCGGCCTACGTGGGAACTTTGGGGCTACCGTAATTAGGGGACTCCTCTCTCTCTCTCTCTCTCTCAACCGATTTCCACGTGACGGGAATTACGTGGAAACTAAGGACGACCCGTATTTCGATTGTAAATGGATTGGGACCTTCTTCTCTGTTGGGAAAGAAAGGAAGGGTCGATGCTCGATCCGTCGCGTGTTTCATTGACGGTGTGTAATAACTGGGATGAGCGGTGAATTAAGGCGAGGCGAGTTATATTTAGCTTGGAATGGAATGTAGGTTTAGATAAACGTTCGTGCTACCTCTGGGATGGGATTTTTGTAGCGGTCGAAACGCGTGGGATTTATTACAAAATAGAGAAAGAGAAAGAGGGGAGGAAAGAAAACTCACCTCGTCAAGGGCCATGGAGAAGGCGCCCGAGATGGCGAGGCCCTGACGATCTTTCAGGCCACCCTTGATGGCCGTGAGATATCCAATGGTAAGATTCTGTTGTTTCCTCGGTTGGATAGCCCTGGTTACGGTCGATTTGGGGTAAGCTTGCCTGGAGAGTGCCTGCTGCCACTCGGCCCCGGGCAACCCTGGCGGTTCGGCCAGGCCCAGGACCAGAGGGCTGCTGGCCAGCAGCAGCAACACCAGCAGGGCCCGTGACCGCAGCGGTTGATCCAGCCGGTGCCGTCGATTGCGTTCCTGAGGGACTTCCTGGCGACGGGGAGGCCTGCGGCGGCTCGGCTGTACTGGCGGGCCGGGGCGCATGGCCGCCGCCGCCACCGGTCAGCACCGCCTCCCTCCCGCTCACCTGCAATCCCAAATTTCACAAATCATCCATCTTTCCAATTCGGAACAGAACCACTCGATCGATTATCGTTAGATATCGGCGAGGAGAAGGAAGAAAGGAAGAAAGATTCTTCTGAATTTAATGGCCCGATTGAAACAACTGCGCGGCTCGGAAATGTTTTATTATGAGGATTATGAGAAATAATATCGAGAGATCTATATATCGTTCGTTACGATACGTTTCATTTATATTCTCGCAATAATCTCGTTCGATTGAACGCGTGTATCGAAAAATGGAAAAGATACCGCACTACTAGTCTAAATCCTATCTTCGTAATCTTCTAAATACACCGAGAACGGATAGATATGTCGAGACAATAATCGTACACCACTCGTGCGATACATATTTTTATCCACTTATCTTGCGAGCGGCACGAAAAATTCGACTGAACCACGCAATTAGATATAAGTGCCCGTACTTAGAAGTGTCATTTCGACGCTATCTTCCCCGCTACTTATCATTCGTCTCCACTTATTCCACTGAGTCATTGCGTGTGCCGTGAGCTAATAATAATAATAAAAATAATATTAACTAACTGATATCCCTTCCTTCAATTTTTCCTTACGCTAGTTTTATTACGCCTTCGTCCACTCTCACGCTAATTCTCCTTCTTAAGATAAAAATCTGAAGAATCGTGTACGTGTCATCCGACATTAATCATCCGCCCCTCCCCCCGTTTATATATTCCGCGACCTTGCTCCCAGATTCCAGGCTAAAAAAATGAGTCAGACATGGAACGAGCGACATGGAAGAATCCGATCGCGTTATCTTCCCGATCGGATATCAACGATCTCCAGGAAATCTTACGTCAGAAACGACACGTCGAAGGACTCGAAGGACGGTGAAACAGCGATCCATGAATGATTCCTGTTTATTATTATATCGCCACGAGCGTGTAATCACGTTCACGCGCGTTCTTCTAACAGAGAGAAGAAGCTCCGGGGCATGCGGAATCAAGCTGTGCCATTGTTTCATGGAAACGTTTCGAGGAAAAACGGTTTCGAGGAAGGCCGCTTTCCAAGACCGCTTTATTCCGTTCCGTTAACCAGAAAAATCTATACCGTCCCTCTCCCCTCCCCTCCCCCCCCTAACTTTAGATACAAGTCGGCAAAGAAAATATCGTTCTAATGCGATTATCTTATTAATGCATCCAACGAATCGATTCGAGATAGGAAAAACAGTTAGTTACGCGTCGAGAGAGTAGACCGCTTTCACTATCGACGAGAGCAAAGGAGAGTTCACTTGTTCTCCAACGGTTCACAAATTGAAATCGAAGTTGCACGCGTGTACCAGCCAACGCGATTTGTCATCGTGACGCGCTACCTACTATTGTTCCCACCACGCGAGGCCGTTAACGATCGAAACAACAACAACAACAACAACAAACCAAGAATTTCGATCGATTCGAGCAGAAGGTGAAAAAAAAGAGGAAAGAAAAAATACACGCAATCGTCCCAGCGGAACGAAGCGAGGGAACGGCCGTGGAAAACACGTGGCCGGGCATCGAGAGGGACACACCTGTTGCAATTACGTAACGCGACGAACGAGCGGCTCTCTCTCTCTCTTTCGTAGGCGAGAGAGCGTGCCGCCGTTGCTACACGCCAGCCCACTACTCTAGAAGCCCTCGCGCGCCACGACAATAAAGACGTCTTCTTCTTCTTCTTCTTCTTCTTTTTCTTCTTCTTCTTCTTCTTCTTCTTCTTCTTCTTCTTCTTCTTCTTCTTCCCTTGGTTGATGCATGGTGTCATTCACCAACCGAGCTGTGGGCCGCGGTGTATATAGGCTCTCGTTTCTAAGTCGGATTTAATTATGGCCGACCGGTGAAAGTGACCGGTTGCTGCAGCGCGGATTTATATTTAACGGGCGGGAAACGGGAAAAGGGACGGCCAAGTCACCTTGGCGAGCCACCGATTCACGAACACGATGCGCCATTAAGAGATCGTCCAAGATAGGATTCTGTCGATCGGCGTTGAATTCTATTCGCGTTATTACGTATATGGATTTCGTGTTCACTTTTAACACGACGATGGTAATAAAATTGCTCTAACCCTTTGCAATCGTGTGTCGCCGTATAGTCGCCATCCTACTAATGTAAATATATGTATAATGTAATTACATTCTAGGGACTCTCTTGTTGTACTTGATTGATACAATCTTCTTAAATACCGGTGCAAAGGGTTAAAACGGGTTTTCACAATACCCGTATTTGGCTTATTTGTCCGTGTATCTTTTTATATCCAATTATAGAAAGCATCATATTAAAATTAGAAATTTCTCGATTTTACTTTCTTCTGAATATTATGAAACGCGAATCGCTATCGTTGGCTACCGTCGGAGAAGTTGTTTTTCTTTTTTTAATTTTCACGAAAGAATTTTCCAAGGTAACAGAATTCTAGTTAAATAAATATCTTTCCTCGCGCTCTTTCGAATTTCACGGAACGCGTCATTATGTTTTTTTTTTTCTTCTTCTTCTTCTTCTTCTTTGCCTGCAACGAACGTTTGTATCAGCTTTCGTCGATGCATCATTCGCGAGACGTATCACGCGCTTTCTCCCCAAAGATTTTTATCGTGCGAGGACAGGATGGAAAAGCGTGGACAGGATCGTGACCCCGTCGAGGCTTTTTCAATTAACGAATACGCTGACGCACGTATAAAACGTGTAGCCGCGATGCTCGACCATGTACAAGCTGGATGTGGACAGTTTCCACGAGCGACGCGTCAGCGCGGTGCTATTTATTTTCAGGTGTTGTTGGAGGATCTGATTAGCTCGTTTAACACGCGTGGATGGGTTCGTAACGTGGCCCACCACGTTTCGTGAAATTTTCCAAATTTTCAACTCGCTAATTGGTGACGCTTCGGTCCTCGTTCAAATCGAACATTTTTAAAATTTGTGGTATTTCAATATTTTTTTTTACGTTTACGTTTGCTCGAATATTATGTTAATTTGTCGGATATCTTTTAACACGCGATTAGTAACAGGAGATTAAATATCTAGGAGAATAATTGAAATGGTATAATCGTCGTTGGCAAAATAGTCTTAGTATTTTTTAAATTGCGCGTGTCGGGGAGGGGGGGGGGCGAAGAGATAGACGAGTTTTTAATAAATAAGTTTTGATGAAATATCGTCGAATACACAAGCAGATTGACAAGAATTTAAAGAAATTGATCCGTAAAAAGTAATTATCCGTTAGATCGATAGAAAGATCGATGGAAATATTGCGATAAAAAGTTTTCAAAGCACGAATTACAAAAGAAAGAAAGGCGTGTTATCTTCACGAGTAAAAATTACCAAGTAATATAATTTTCTATTTCTATTCAAAAACTTTCGAATCAAATTTTCTTAACAGTTCGATCCTTTTTGCCGAAAATCGTCTTACCCATGCTTGGTTCGAACGAAATTGAAATTAATCGAGCGTCCTCGTAGGCAAAATTTTTTCTTTTTCTCGAACGCAGAAACGATTACGTACGTTTCTGTAAAAAAAAAAAAAAAAAAGTAGGATCGAAAAATCCTTGCCACGCGAGCAGCACACTCGTTCCAGTCGAATTTATTTTCGCCTCGAGACCGTTACACTCCCATGGGCCGAGAAAGCAAACAGGATCTTTTTAACACGGGCCTGATACGTAAAGTAAATTCGGCCCGATAAAGTTCTAAGAATAGCAAGCGTCCATGGAAGAGCATACGTTATTTGTCAATGACGTCGCTTATGGTTACCTGAGATAAGTAACTTCACCGATAACTCGATACGTATTCGAAACGTTCGGTGAAATTATCTTTTCTGTCCTCGTTTTATCGTACAATATTATTACCACTAGAGAATTTTAAATTTTTAACTTTTCCTTCTTTAAATTCGTAAAATTGGAAATTGGATCGTTCCTTCCAAAATTTCTACTTTTCTTCTTACTCAATTTTTCATTCCTTCGTAAATTACGAATTTAACGATCTTCCAATCTTCCTTTGCTTCGCGATTTTGTTACCTTAAAAAAATTTCCAAAGTTTCCAAGGAACAACGACGAAACATCGACGAAAAAGGATAAAAAAAAGGGGGGGGAAGGGGGTCGATCAGCTGATCGATTTACACGCGATTCTTAGCGATAAAGTGGTCGCGAGAGATGAATAGCAAGCAAAGTGTATAGGGCACGAGCGCTCCAAACGAGAGTTATCACTGTTTATCTAAACGATATACACCGCGAGTGTTGACCCTGCCATTGCGTAAACGCATGCCTCGCGCATACCAGCCGATTCGCTGCTTCCTGCACCCGATTCCGCCCGTTTCGCGAGCCGTAACCGGGTTCAACTTTGCGAAAAAGGTAGTGGAAACCGGGCTGGAAAAGAGGACCAGTCCGATTCCGAGATTCCATTAACGAGTCCGCGGGAACGAGATCACGACGGAAATAGAATGGATCCTTGTTGCCCGATGTCTCTCGAAGGATATCGGGGCTGAAACACGTCCAGTCTAGTTTTCTTCAATTGGATCGCGGATAATTGTTACCACGAGATATACGGTGACACGAAAAATCTGATCGAGTGTATACTTTGCCTACAAATCGATAGATAAATCGATCGAGATATATTTGTATGAATTATTTCTCGAATATTTTGAATTTGTTTATCCTTTTGCTTTTCTTTTTCTAATTCGATCTATTTCATCGAGTCGAAATAATATTTATAGATTGTATTGAAAATTTCCAACGGAACGGAATTGAAAGGTAATTTTTGGTGCGCGATTTTTAAATTGTAAATGTATTTATCGAGGATAAATTATACGATAATCAGATTAGATTGAATAAATGGGCGAGAAATGAATAAATTTTGAAAAAAAAAAAAAATAAATAAAAATTCTGATTTCATAACGATCGTTAAAAAATATTTTCTTTAATTTAAATTACCTGTAAATTACGGTTCCCTTGAATTTTCTAGATATCGCCGCTGTCATTTTCAGTTAATGATCTTTACCACTTAT